AGGTGGATTAGACATGGAAAATGCCAGGTTACAGGGAAAGGGTAGGGAAATGGGTCTCGATGGGATGCTCTTTGGAGGGGCAGTGTGGACCTGTTGCGCCGAATGGCCTGTTTCCACATTGTAGAGATTCTATGATTCTATGAAGATGAAAATTAGATATGTCTTTACTATCGTCACAATTCTGGCTTGCTTGACTATTCTCTTTTTGAAGTGAAGGTGTTGAAAACTTGAAGTCAGATTCAGGAGCTGTAATGGATTCTGTATTCAAGCAGTTAGAGGATGCTTCTGCAGTGATCGTAACAAGGTCAGCTAGGTGGACCTCACAGAATATGAGTTCCTTGATTGGGGCTGTTAATCTGGTCCAATCAGGGAGCCCTGGCTGATAGATATAAACAGGAGTGTCAGAGGTTCTGTTCCCTCTGAGAGTTGGCTCTGAGGGAGCTGGATCAGTGTCAAGGATTCTCCACGTGTAAATAAAGGGTGTCTTACTGGTCTCTGTGGAGTTATTTCAGTGGCAACAAGAGAAAAACATGCTCCTGAAGAAATTGCTGGCAACAGTCATCTTTGAGTTGGGGTAGGCATTTCCGCCAGCGTGCTGTTTTTTGGGAAGCTTGACTCATTCGATCCTGCCAATGCTAGTAGCCACCAATGCTGAGGGTGCTGCATGGATAAGATACTAAATTACTTTGAGCATCCCATACATTCCAATGGATGTGGTAACAGTAGGACATAGTCGATGGTTAGGCCAATGCAGAAGTAGATACTTCATTGTTGTAAAATTATGAGAATCCCAATTATCTTAATATCCAAAGCTTTAATAGGCCCATTTTAATAGATTTGAAATGGTTTGTTTCAGTACACATGACCAGTGTTACATGAAAAAGTGAGATGGCCAAAAATTCTGTGAATAGGCTTGATATTGCAACTCACAAGGCACAGGATCTATTTTTGGTGCATTTAAATAAATGGAGAAAGGTGGACAGACAATTAAGCAGATAGAAATGAACCTATGTCTGTAGATACAAAAATTAACCAGCAACTAACAATTTTCTCGTTCAACATGTCATTTATCATAAATGGGAAATAATGAATGGTTAATGAATAGATGAACTTAAAATTTAGATTGAAAGTGATTGGAAGAAACAATAAAACACAAAATCTCAGCACAGTATGTTAATATTTCCAGTTTGCACTGCAAATGGCTGTGAATCACTTTTAGGTGTTGCAAATTTGTGCAAGGGGTTATCGAAATGCAAGTATGGCCCTCATGTGGTGCAGTGGTAGAGTCCCTACCTCTGGACAGGGAGGCCTGGGTTCAAGTCTTGTCTACTCCAGAGGTCTGTAATAACATCTCTGAACAGGTTGATTTAAAAAAAAGTTATCTTAAAAAAAATCTAAAAACAAGTTGGGGTCCTGTTGTGGCACAAAGGTCAAGCTCCTACCCCTAGCCCAGGAGGCCTGGGTTCAGGTCCCACTTGGTCCAGAAGACAAATGACACCTCTAAACAGGTTGATTAGAAAAATTGGGTAAATTTACAAAAAAAATCTAAATGCAAGCTCTTTCTTTCTGATGACATAGAGAAAACAAAACTTTCTAAATGACAGACCATTGTACTATGCTTCAATAAAGTTTACAGCTAGGAATATGCATGATACATCTACATACTGTATACTGCATGCAGTTAAATGTCTGCAATTTCAATTTCATGCACTCTAATCTCTCATGTAGTTTGTAGAAGAAAAAGAGAAGCTAATGTGTGACTAAAAACAGACATTTTGCAGCTGTGCTACAGATTGCCAATGATGTCATTTCACTAATGAGGTGCATGATCAAGAAGAAAGTGAACTCTCCTTTAAAGTTATGAACCAGCAAAAAGATCACATTGTCAGGGTCAGATTAAATGCCAAGTTATGATTGTTAGATTGGAATTCCACTTAAATCCAGGAGGTTTGTAGTTTTTAGAGCAGAATATGGCAATATCCATTGACTTCAATGAAATAGAATATCAGGGGCTAGGTATAAAGCACAGCTGATTTAATCCAACCCGAACTGCTCACCTGTTTAAGACTAACTACTACATCATTTTTGTTACATTTGCTTTACAAAATTCTTGCACAATCTTAAAGCCTTCTGTTGGGTCAGTCCTTAGTCTTCTCTTTTCTACAGAAAAGATTCCCAGCCTTTTCAGTCTTTCCTGAAAAAGTGTATCCTCTCAGTCCTGATATCATTCCAGTAAATTTCGTATCACTACAGCTTATTTTGTTAATTTTCCCCTGTTAAAAACATCATATCACAAAAGTCAACCATTTTCTATGCATGTTTAGAGAAAATATCACGGAAAGTAAATGTCTATCCTAAACTTATGGTGTAAACAACCAGTTGCATTTAGATGCTAAACGTGAGAATAAAAGCCTTTTTATTTTACTGAGAGTCATGATTTGGTAAATTATCCTTTTTTGTTTGTTCATAGCCTCAACACGTAGTAGATTCTACCAGCCTCATATCAGAGCTTGATGACAATAGATATATACTGATAGCATGCTCATCTGCTTTAGTGCTCAGGATCCCATGAGAACTCACCTGTGCTTCTTGGAGTGTCATGAGATTCTTTGAGCCCACCTAACAGAGCAAATGAGAGCTTTGTTTACATTTCTTCAAAAAGCCAACATGCTTGACAGTACAGCTCTCTTCAATGAGGCAGCAAAGTGTCAGCCTGTAGCATCGAATATGTAACTGTCAGATTTGAAGGTAGGTGTACCACCACAGAGACAAGGCTGGCATTTATAAATAAAACTTTTCCTTCCTGCCTATAAAAACCTAACAATATCCCAGAGACAACACAGCATGGAGCTGAAGGAACAAAACAGGCCAGGCAGCATCCGAGGAGCAGGAAAGTTGACGTTTCAGGTTGGGACTCTTCTTCAGAAATGAGGAGGAGAAAGGGAGCTGGGAAATAAATTGAGAGAGGAGGGGTGGGGCTGGGGAAGGTAGGTTGGATGGTGATAGATGAGTGCAGGTTGGGAGTGGTGGGGATCGGTCAGTGAGTTGGGAGGGGGCGTATAGGTGGGCGAGAAGATGGACAGGTTGTATCACGTCAAGGAAGCGGGGATGAGAGGGAGGATTGAACAAGGAATGAGGCCAGGTGTGGGGAGATTTTGAAGCTGGTGAATTCCATGTTTAGGCCATAGGTTCCCGAGGCGGAATATGAGGTGTTGCTCCAGTTTGCGGGTGGCTTATTTCTCAGTTCTCTTCCCCCTCTGCATTTCTGAAGTATTTATTTCCCAGCTCCCATCCCCCTCCCCATTTCTGAAACACCACCCCACCTACCTTCCAGCTAGCCACCACCACCCAGCTCCACCCCTCCTCTATTTAATTCCAGCTCCCGTCCCCTTCCCCACTTCTGAAACACAACCATCCATCTTCTCTCCCACCTATCCGCCCCACCCATCCCACTGATCAATCCCCACCACTCCCTACCTGCACTCACCTATCACCATCCCACCTATCTTCCCCAGCCCCACCCCTCCTCTTTCTGTTGATTTTCCAGCTCCCTTCCCTCTCTCCATTTCTGAAGAAGGGTCTCGACCCGAAACATCAACTTTCCTGCTTCTCTGATGCTACCAGGTCTACTATGTTCCTACAGCTTCATACGCTGTTGTCTCTGACTCCAGTGTCTGCAGTTCTTGCTATCTCTGACAATATCCCAGATCTTCCCAATGGGAAGATATCTGTTGACTAGATTGGAATTATGTGTCAGAACCATGTAGACATTCTGATTTAGCTGATTATGGGAACTGCCTGGGGAGTTTAAATTTTCTTACAGCAATTTACCAGTGTCTAGAACTTGCCAAAAAAGTCTCCAGCTCTGAGTTACACTCTGACTGATTTAAGCTTCATTATTACCCATGAAAAGTTAGAGAGTTAAACTTGCGTTAATTCCTGCATAACTATTAAACTGAATGACTCACAACTGATTCTGTCCCACGACTTCCCATTCCTTAATCTTAGTGTGACACCGCTAATCCCCAAACTGTGATATTGCAAAACCAGGAGTCATAGCGTAAGTCCCAAAAACTGGCAGATCAAATTAAATGGGATATTAGGAAAGCAGGAACTAGAGTAGGCCATTCTCCCTTGAGCCTGTTTTGCCATTCTGATCATCTACCTCAAATCCACAGTCCTGTACAAACCCCACATCCCTTCATGTTATTAGTGTCTAGAAATCTATCAATCTCTGTTTTGAACTTACTTAATAACTGACCTTCTACAGTTCTTTTGGATAGAAAATTCCAAAGATTCACTTTCCCCTGAGTGATGATGTTCTTGCTTATTTCAGTCCCAAATGACTTGCCTTCTATTCAGAGATGGTGTTCCTGGTTCTAGACTCCACAGCTGCAGGAAGTACCTTTTCTGCATTTACTCTGTCTATACCTTTAATAATTGTGTGATTTTCAGTGAGATTGCCTCTCATTCATCTAAATTCCACAGAGTATAGGCTGAGTCTACTCAAACTGTCCTCATAGGGCAGGCTCATCATCCTAGGAATCAGCCTGATGAACCTTCTCTATACTCTCTCAATGGCAAGTATATCTTTCTTCAGGCAAGGGGACCAGAACTTCATACAGTACTTCTGGGGTCATATCACCATTTTCTATACAATTGGAACGAGACTACTTTGTGTATGGACTCATTTCTTCTTGTGACAAAGCTTAGCTGCTGATTTCTGAAATGCTTGCTGCACCTGCATGCTAGCTTTCAGTGACTTATGAACAGACATCCAGGTCCCATTAAACTTCAATACAATCTAATCTCTCAATATGTTAAAAATACTCTGTATTTGCATTCCTTCTGTTAAAGTAACTAACCATACACGTATCCACAATATATTCCATATGCATGCTCTTGCACTTTCACTCAACCTGTTTAAAACCCCTTGAAGCCGCTTTGCATTCTTCTCAAAACTCAGTTTCTCACAAAGCCCTGTATCATCTGCAAAGTTAGAAATATTACAAATGCCCCCATATCCACAACATTGATATAGATTGTGAATAGCTGGGCCCCATGCACTAATCCTTATGGTACCCCTCTGGTCACAGCCTGGCAACCTGAAAATGCTCCATTGTTTCATGCTGTCTGCTTTTTGCCTCTTACCTAATCCTCAATCTTTAATTCTGTTTAGTAACTTACTGTATGGAACTTTACCAAAGGTTTCTGATAATCCAAATCCAGTACATACACTTGTTCCCCCTTATCAACTTTGCCATTAACATCTTCTTTACTGCTGTTCTCTTAGATCTGCACAAAGACAAACATATTGCTCTGCGTAATGTTTTCAATATCTTCACCAATTAATTATTTTTCTTTTCTTCTGCAGGCACTAGTGCCAACCAGAACTCCACACAGCAGTCTGAGCCCTCCTTACCACCACAACTTCTGAGGAGGAAGACTGTGATCCAACAGAGGATGCACTGGCAAGGTGTTCAGACCCGTACCATTCAATAGCACAGAGACTGTCAATGTAGTGGGTATCTTAGTAGACTCTGGGACACAATCTGGTGAACAAATCACAGGTATGTGTCTGCAGCTGGTAGAAAAAAAAATGCCTGAAGCTTTGAGCTGCTGGCATATACTCTAACTCTGATCCAGCTCTACGCAACATCAACCCCTTACACCCCATTTTCTCATTGACACTTAACTGTTTCCAACAGCCATATGTTCATGCCTTACCTTAAATGCTGAATTCCTCCTGAGAAGTGGGCGCTGCTGCATTATGCTCGGTTGGGTGGCATAAATCCAGGAACACACCCTGTCTTCGTCAACATATAGGCACCTTCTGCAGTTGTAGTGGTTCCAAAGATATAGAAGGAGCCTTGTGAGGTATCAGCAGACACAATAAAAGCTGTGTACTCACCCCAACTGGAGGTAGGAAACCAAAATCCCAGCTGCTTGGTTTATGCAGATGAGTTTCTGAAGTGTTGAGTACTTCAATTGGGCAGAAGTTAATTCCAGCAAGTAAAGTAGTACAGAAATGGAAATGTATGTATGTAAGGCTTATAGTTAAATCATCTTGCTATCTAAGGAGGATAACTTAACTATGAATATTTATCTCAACGGTAAGAATCTGATTTTTGGACTCTCACCCAATTAGCTCCTCAGATTCACCATTGCTCTCACCCCCTGAGGGAGTAGAAAATCACGTCCATGATAATTTTCTCCGTTACAGTTTATAACTGAATAAACGTGATAGTATATACATAAGTTACATTTATAATTCATAGACATGTGCATTTATAAATCACTGGCCTTAAATACATCATTAGTATAAGTAACAGTTTTTATCTTTGTTTCATTTTGGGCACCTGCAAATTGGCAGCTATGTGATTGAAGCATCAATAAGACAGACATTCCATTAAAGTGGCAAATCTTCCAGCATTCTGTTGACTCCCCCAAAGCATGGAAGGATTACAGACAATTTATCTTTTTCTACAGATGCATGGGTAAGGCAGTTGAACGGTTGAAGGCATTGATGCTCTTGAAATGCAAGAAATATTCTTTCTATTATGCAGCAGTCTTTGTGCGACATTGATAACGTCAGTATTTGAAACACTCAAATCGTTTTTCCTGCTTATAAGCTATTCCAAAAGCTAGGCAACATCTTTAAAAATGTTGGAGCTGTTATGTTGTTATGTTCTTCTTTAGGGCCTGATAAAGAATCCTGGGATATGAGCATTCACTTCCATTTCACGTAAACATTCTGGAGGGCGGAACTAGAGAAACTTCTGTAAAAACTGCTTACTTCCCCATGGTTGTTGAAAATGCAATTTTTACTTGACATAGGTTATTGACATTTAGATGTGCATAAATATTTTAAACAACTAAAATGAAGTATAATTTTAAGACTAAATGGTCTTTTGATACAGTTTCACTTCTTAGCCGGTTGAGATGCCAGGTATATATTCATCATTGCTATATATTGTCAGATGTATATTGCTACCATTAGCTCACTGTATACTTGGAAAGCTGCTTTCAGAAACAAATTGCAAGAAGTTCTTGGGCTAAATATTCTACTTAGGGCTGTAATCTTCTGTATATAATTTTTAAACTTTAAAAAACAGTACACTATGTAGCCCATGGTATCTTATTAGTTAACTAACTTTATTAACGTAATATTATTTGATAGCAATGCTGCAAAACAAACATCAAAGACTGTAGATTCAAGATTAGGAACTAAAATATTCAATTAGAACTAAGTAAAATATTTGCAGTGGTATTGGTAGCATTGCAAGAATATTCAATTTTGTGTGCTTACTGTGTTTGGGCCAATTGCATCCATAATTTCTGTATGTGCAACTACACCTGTTGAAAGCTTTTTTAAACATTTTTAAATAGGAAGTGGATGTCACTGGCCAGGCCAGTATTTATTACCTATCCTTAATTGCCTATAAGCGTCAACCACATTGCGTACATCTGGAGTCATATGTAGGCCAGACTGGGTAAGAACTAGGTAAAGGACTTTAGTGGACCAGATGGATTTTTCCCAACAATCATTTCATGGTCATCACTAGACTCCTAATTCCAAATACTTATCAAATTCAAATTCCACTCACATGGCAGGATTTGAACCTGAGTCCCCTGAACATAATTTATTATCAATATTAACATTATTAATATTAATCTATGGATTAATAGTCTAACAATCATACCACTAGGCCATGACTTCCCCAAGGAAGTTTCTGTCCCTGGGTTCTGACTGTTTTGATTGCTGGTACTTGTCGATATGCATCAAACTTATCAAAATGAGAAAATTTGACCCAGATGATGCATAGAGTCATCCACACATGGGACAGAATTTAATTGCTAGGGGCGCATGGGTTCTAGTGTAGGCAGTGGGCATTGGGTCAGGGATTGGGTCAGGGATCAGATGTAACCCTGCCATTTATTGCTTTAATCCTGGTGGATTTGCAGATGAATGGGGGACCCTCATGGAATGGTTGGGAGAGATATATTTGAGATCTTGATGAATGGATGATCCTCCAATTTTCTTTATCATTGAACGCTTTTTTTTAATGAAGTTGTGAGATAACATATGACGGGTGGATGCTTTGCAGTTCTACTGTTATGAATCATTTTTCCTTCACTGTTGCCTGAATTATAGTTCATGGTATATTTCCATGTCTGGCTTCATTTTTGTTTTCAAGCCAGACAAGCTTTCATCCCAATATGTGAAACTGCCAGAAATATGTAAATCAAATAGGATTTTTCTAAGCTTCAATAACTTCTTATAACAATATTAATTTCAGTTCCAACTACTTCTTCCTCTTGATGGTTACATGAATTTAGTTCAACTAGGTCAGGTCGCCACAGCAGCTATCTCAAATCAGTGTTTTTCCTTTTTATTTGAACCATTTTAGTCCATGAAATAGCATAGGTATTAAGATCAGATGAAGGAAGTTGAGATTTGAGAGTCTATTTTTATCACTATCAATAACAGGAGGTAAAAGCTCCAACATGGATTCAACAGACAGTGGATTAGCTCTCTGAACTTGTCTGAGAATCACTTAGGCATCTTATGCTCTGACAACACAGCATGTTTGACTTTCACAGTCTCCTGGATCAATACCTCCTTCCCTGTAGATCTGGTGGGCGTTGACTATCACGTTGGCTGACATTAGAGGCCCCTCACCCTTAACAGTTCTCTGTTTCAACTTGTAGTTCTGTGGGGGAATAAGACAAAGAGTTATTAGCATTAGAAATGGTTTTAATAAAGACAGTCAACATTCATAGAGGGTCGCAGTGATCCATACATTTGAGTTGACAAAAATGAGTATGATGTTTGCTGTTCGGACAGCAATGTGAGGAGGTACCTGAAGGGTGAGTACCAAGTAAAGAGATACAGTATGTTGACCTGAGGAGGGCTGTGTAGGAGAATGCTGGGAAAGGCAGAGGGTGGAGGTTGTTATTTGAATGTAGGTCGAGGGGCCACATACCTGTTGCTCCCAACCTAACCTCTTCTACTTGCAAGCTTGGTTTGATAGGTCAACCTTTTCCTCCCACCCTTCTGAAACATCACTTCATTTCAGTCTCTCACACTCTGCCACTGGAGGACCTTGAGGTAGGAATTTGAGTCCTGGTGATTGGGAGGGGAGTGGCGGGGAAGAGCAGCTTTTCCAGGTCCTCTTTCTGAAACCTTAAGAATTCACGAACAGTTCAACTATTCTGGCTGTGGCTAGGCTGACTTTAAATAGAAATATTCCTTTTCTTTATTCACTTATGGGACATGGGTGGCCAGCATTTATTGACGCTGATCACCCTGGTTGCCCTTGAAAAAGTGGTGGTGAGCTGCCTTCTTGAATCATTGCAGTCCGTGCACTGGAGGTAGACTCACAATGGCATTAATGAGGGAATTCCAGGATTTTAGTTGAGACTTAAAGCCTCAGATTTCTAACTTGTTATTGACTTCCCCACTGCATGCGGGACTGTTAGGATAAAAGCTCCACCTGTGCAGTTACTCCCTGCTTTTCACCCCTTTGCTAAAAATGTGTTTGGGTAGTCAGAACATGTCACCACACTTGTCCCTTAATTGTGGAACAAGTAACAATTTACAAACAAGGGATAGACTTACTGCTGGGTTTCTTCTGACATTGTCAATTTGATATAATGATGTCAAGTTAGACAGAAATACTGTAAATATACAATCATGCACCCTGCATTGTACCCTGTGTTGAAATTGAAAAAACATTAAATAGTTCTATTTAGTTTTTCTGTAGAATAGGTGATCAATCTGCAACACTATACTGGAGTTATTTGTATCTGCTCATATGTTTAAGATGTTAATGGTTAATTTTAAAGCAAAGTGCAGTTTTTTTGTTTTAAAGCTGCTGTGATGATACGTTAAAATTTTAGTGGGTTTAACTTTGTTGCCATTTTACTGTAGATGTAAATAATATGTAATTTATTACACTGTCTCAGCAACTGACCAAGTCACATTCAGCATTTTGAGACAACTACTATTTGGCCGTCAACATCTGTATTTTAGAAAAGAGCAGAAACCAACACTGGGCGAGAGTTTCCACTTCGGTCACAGTCAATGATCCCAATGCAAATTATGCCTCAAATTACACCCATTTTGAAAGATGTTTTTCCCCTCAGCTTCTGCTTAAATTCATTTGCATATTACTGAACACAAATCTGCCATTAACTAGTGTAATCGGACACTGTTTTAAAACGCAATTCTTCTTAATTAATTTTTAAAATATTCTTTGTCATTCGATATTTAAAACTGGAAACTTGGCAAAGTGTAATTATTACAGTTGAAAATGGGATTTATTTTAAAAAAAGCATTTTAACTATAATACCAATCTGCTATCTGTGAGTAACCAGGAGTGGAATTTTATATGGGCCTGAACAACATGGGCTATGGCAAGACTTGTGGCAGAATCATGCAATAAATCTACTGAGGTCCATCTTAACTTTAGGAGCAACTTGCTGCATCTTTTATGCATTTGCTGAATGATATGGTGAGTTTCTCATTAGGCACTGGCAAGTTGCCAATTAAGGGCTTTGTAGCCTGTTTAATACCGTATTAATGCTACAACTCACTTTATTGACATTCAGCTTTCAATCTTACCAAACATGCTGAACAAACTAGTTGCTGAAAATTTGTGACACAGAAGTCAGTGTGACTTCAGTTTTTCACTGGCTGTGATGAGCTTCCATGTTGCTTAACACCAACCAGCATCTGAGGGCACAGTCCATGGGTACCCAGCTGCACACACCCCTCATCCAAGGACATTGGTATCAACATTTGCTAACCCCTTTGTAATTCTCATGACACCTCTTCAATCTACGTCTAGGCTAAATCTCAGGGCTGCTCTCTTATTCTCTTAGCGCCCACTCATTTAGCACCCATCTGCATGTTCACAGCATCCATGTCTTGCCTTGCTGTGGCGTGCCAGAGCCTAAGGCAAACAGTACTGCCATGTTAGCCTGCTCTTTCTTGCAGACACACAGACAAAGTGTTTGCCATACTCATCAGTGATTTGTCTGGGGAGGGGGAGCACCTTGTTGTATGGTACATCGAGATGTCAGCATGGGCCAGCTGCCTGCACAACAAACACATTACCACTATGTAACCTAATGGCCATGCCATAAGATGAATGGGTGCTCGTCAGCCCAGTCAGGGTTGGTGGTGTCTCTGTCATTTGGGGGTTCCCAATACCTTTGGATACCGGTACAATCTGCACACAGTCAAGCGGCTTGGCCAAGATCAACTATCTACTTGGATTGGTCACTGTTAGAGGGTATTTCCAACTACCGTCCACAGAGTGAGCAATGGTTAGTCCTATAGGGCAATCACAATAAGTCAGGAAAACATATATTGTCAATTGGGGAGCTGCAATGACAGCAGGTCAGGGGTCTGCTTAGTCATGTCTATGGGCTGTTCATCAAAGTTGCTCAGAGGCCTGGGTGGTTACAGTGCTGGGAGTCCATCTCTAAG